AGGACAGAAAATAGCCTATTACTTCTAAATTATGATGTTTTTTGATGTAAAAATCTTGATAACATTATAAGTGGACCTCAGAGAACAGCACAAAATAATTTAAAAAAGGCAGTTCATGACCGCTTTAATAGCGGCGCTATGGAAAACACCGTTCAAAGGGATGTGAATGCTCTTCATTCAAATGAACTATCCATTATGCACATTTGAAATCCTATGCTGCACACCAAAATAAACAATAGGTTTCAGTTTTACAATATCTTGTCCAATCAAAGCAAGGCTTGATGGAGTGAAAATTGGAATGTTCCACATGAAAACTTTGGACTTCACTGAAAGTTTGCATGGATCTAGGTCATCCCTGAATGTTGTAATGAATTAAATCTATATGCCATTTTGTTAAAGGAATAGTTCACCCATGAATGTAAATTTGCTGGAGATATACTCACCCTCACGCCATCCAAGATGTAGATTGCTAGTTTTCTACTTCATCAGAACAGATTTGGAGAAGTGAAATCGTCTTAATGATGGCTTTGTTTATTACAAACACACATATTTTCACTTCACAAGATGTAAATTGATGGACTGGAGTCATGTGGATTACTTGTGGATTACTGCGATGCTTTTATCAGCTGCTTGGACTTTCATTCTGATGGCACTCATTCACTGCAGAAGATCCATTTCTGAGCAAGTGATGTAATGCAAAATTTCTCCAAATCTGTTTAGATAAAAAAAAAAAAAAAACTTATTGCCATCTTGGATGGAGTAAATTTTCAGCAAATTAAATTTTTGGGTGAGTTATTCCTTTAAGAGGCTGTCTCCTATCCCATGTTAATGCCAAGAGATGACTAAGTAAACCATTTGTAGGTTGATTTACAGAAGGATGTAAACACTGTTGCTTGGTGATGCTTTCAAAATACTCATCTGCTTGATTGAACTGCCCATCTTATGAACCTCTAGCTCAACCAATCACATGAGTTTGGGAGCAGGACTACCTGTTTGACTGAGCCATGCTTCACAGTTTAGTAGAAAAAAAGTACTTATGTTTATGCTTTGAGCTTTGGCCAGCAACACAATATAAAGTAAATGTTTTATTATTCTTCACATCATTTCAATAGTACGATAAATTTCCCTTTATTTTATTTAATTGCAGAGTGTACCAGGCTTACGCTGTAAATACATGCATTAAATTCTATCTGTGAGAAGCTATTTTTCTTTTTATATTTCAGAAAAAAATGCACTCATGCATCTGTCTTCACAAGGTACTCATTTAGGTGACAAAAAATGAATGGCAGACTGAAGGAGTTTAATAAGGGAAATGTCAAAGAAACTGACATTTAACAGAGGCCAGGGCCCCCCGCTACTACATCTGTCACATCGTTGACACACACCTGTATGAAAATAAGAGATGTTGACCTCACTCTGAAAGAGACAGTGATTACTCTGTCAGCAGCACAAAGGAGGAAAGCCCCTGCAAGTGAACCCTAATGACATGATGGCACTGTAATGATAGCTTCCAGTTTTTGGAGGGCAGAGATGCATACAAATAGCAGTCCATGTATGGTGAAATGCTTGACTTAAGATGTTATCAAGCTTCCTCAAAACCAACATGAGAGAGGTTGTGATAACATCCAGCATCAGAAAGAAGGTTTTGGAAGTTTTACTTACAACGTTTCATTGCACAGTATGATCTGTAATATCAACTTGTACAGGGACATCAGATGAAAACAAGGCATCTTCATATAATCTGGCACATTTACATCAATGTGAAGTTTTGAATGTGAAAAATTAATGTTTATCGTCCCTGACAAATAAATAAATACAAAAATGTCATGCCCACATTATCTCCTGATAAGTTGTGCCAAAAACCTGCCATTTGTAGAGAGGAGGGTTTGAAATATATCATGGAGATATTATATATACCGGTATATATATATATATATATATATATATATATATATATATATATATGCTTG